TTAAAGGTTTGAACCTTGTTTGAACAAGGTTTGAACAAGATTCAAACCAATTCCAATCAATTTCTTTTGTGCCTGACTTCAATAAGTAGTCTGCAAATACATGCGAAAGTAAGTTCATCTAAAAGAATCTTTTAAACATAGCTCTATAAGAAAATAAAAATTTTATATATTTGGCCAATTAAGTGAATTATGAGTCATATAAAGCAAAATTTAACTTCAAGTTCTCCTCTCCTCACCTCCATTTCTCTTGACTTCCCCATAATTTCTTTCACAACAGAGTGATTTTCCTAATTTCCGCCATATTTCTTGACAAGATCAGTGATGTAAATGCCCATTATCTATGTTGTTGCTAATATTGTCAATACAGCTACCAAATAGAGAGGCCTTTTCAGTCTAAGTTCAGCATATGAGTAAAGTATCATGTTGTTAATATTTTCCATGAGCCACTACTTGTAACCCTCCTTAATTTCCTTATCAAATTATAGATGTGGTGAGCAAAGATAAGGGTGTTGGATGTTATAAGTACATGCAATGTTGGCTTACTAAGATATTTGCCTTGAATTTTGTCCTAAAATTTATGACTATTTGGATCAATTCTATATGATAATTGTTGATCCCATTTTTATGTAAATTGGTTCAAAATTTTGAAAATATTTAAGTCAAATATATAGTTTATGAATTTATACATGAGGTTAAAAAAAATAAGGTTTTTCTCATATAATCATAGAGCATAAACTGGGGATTCTTTTGCTCTTTCAACTTTGAAGTAAAATAAATACAGTATAAAATTTTGATGCATTTGAAATTAACACTCTAAATCTTTTTTGGACTATTTGGAATTCCGTAGAGTTAGGCGAGTTCCAAATACACCGAAAATTCAATGCAATTGTTGCCACTAGAATTCCCGCCGCTACTGCCTGTCACTACTGCTTGCCGCCCATCGCCTGTCACCACTATAGACCGACGTAGTCGACCACCATTGTCGTTGGTAGAGCACCACCATCTCTGACTGATCGCCGCCACCGGCCACAATTGTAACACCCCACAGTACACCTTAACAATACTAGGAGTATTACTAACCTAAAGATAATAATTTTATCATTTGATTATATGATATTTTTAAACATTTGATAATGTTTATAATACACCTAACAATTATCATTCATCACATCAAACGGAAGCCACAAATAATTTAAAAATATTCAATCAAAGACATAGTTACAGAGCCTCTAAGGAAAATCAAATAAATCATTTATTGGAATGATCAAGCATTTAGTCTTACAAACATATTTAAAACTAGCATATAAAATTGAAGTACTTACACTCAGTCTTTTTCAAATCTTCCATTCTTTTCTTATTCCTATAACAACAGCCAGTAAGAAAAGTACTGGTGAGCTATGAGGCTCAATAAATTATGCAAATTAATTTACAATTAAAATGTCATAATAGGAAGAAATTAAAACATTGAAATCATTAATGAAAACATTGTAAGTCATAATTAACATAATGCTTTACTGCTTTTGGATTTCTGTTGAATATAAATTTTTTTTGAAAGATTTGGCTATACTTTCTTAACTTTATTCAATGGAGCCCAGGTAAACCTGACATTATCGCCATTGAAATTCATAGAGGACCCTTTTGCCTCTTTGGGGTCCCTTTTGCCCCACCTGCCAAGCAGGTACCATAATTCCTGGGGTCCCTTTTGCCCCACTTACCAAGTAGTTCTTGTATGAGAACCCTTTTGTCTCAACTAAATTGGTAAAACATACATTAGATATAGCCAAATTTTACATTAATTTAGTATTCAACATTCTTTCATAATCACATATCATATCTGCATTCATCGTCATTCATAATATATATCTTGTATAAAATTAATATGCGTCAATTTTTCAAGGAAATTGACATCCTTCCAAGACATTCTCAAATAGAAAAATCTTTAGATGAGCGTACATAACATTATCTTGAACCCATATGGTAGAATGTGATAAGCAGTAGTTCAATCAATTATCAATAACATTCTATTAGTAAGCAACATAAAAATATCTGTAATTTACTCAATTTAATACATTCTTTCTCTATCACATCATATCTCTACTTCCCTAAACCCACTGCCAATTTCTGAAAGCAACACTCCATAAAAAAACTCTACAGGAATTCCATGTCAAGCCCAACTTCACAACCGAACTGCTACAGGACCCAACATTATCGAATTCCCACTATGCTGAAACTATCCACAGTGTTTTCTGGATACTGTGTCGATCGGTTGAAGAGGGATTTCTGCACTCTACCGAAATCCTGCTACATAGCTTTCTTCCGAACACTGCTACAAGGAAAATTCTACCGCCTTCTACAGACTTACGTGACCGAACATATAAGGCATTAACTATTTTCAACAATAACTGCTCCCTCACATCCTTTCAATCCTTATAAGCTACGGTTCAGATATGCCACGCTTCAGATAATAGTAATAGTGAATATTCTAAGACTTAATGCTTTCTCTACCATTAGATCTTGATCAATCAATGTAAATTCAATTTAGTGGCTGATTGAGGAAAATGGAATATGCTGCAGTGGATTACGAAGTACCATTAATTAATCTATTAGAATTTCTTTAGGTTTAACATTTTATTAATAATACTTTAATAGTAATTAGTACTATAGTTATTCAAATTAAACAATACTTATAACTCATTTCTCTTTACTATTAATATTAAATACTTTTCATAGTAATTAATTTAACAGTGATTTAAAAATTAAATTTTAGAGAAAAGAATAAAAGCTCAAAATTATTGTAAGAATTTTCACATTTTTTTTATAGATATTAATAGTTCGAGCAAATTTTGTTGAAGAGAAATTTTAACATTTTACTTGAATATTTTGAGTCTTACAACAACCCGGCCTCCCTCCGCTGCATGCCTCCACTGTCGGCCACTACCGTCGGCCGCCCGCTATAGGCCATATCTCCACCACTATCCACCCTTGACCTCTACCCTTTTTACATTTTATATTATTTTCATTTTACTTTAAATAAAAAATAATCTCTTGCATTAATTTTACACTTATCCAAACAACTCCAAAATATTTCTTTTACTCTCATTATTTTTACATTGCATTCTATTTCAAGCAACCAAACGGCCTCCTAAAGTCCATTTAGGGCATTTTTTCACCTGTTTTTTTAGAAACTATCATAATTATATTTTATTATAACTTTCTTTTTTTTTAAATTGTGATAAAAACACTTTTTTTTTACAATTAAGACTTTCATTACAATAACTATAAAAAAGCTATGATCCATATTTTCTTTAAAAATATATATAATGCCTACAAAAACTTTTTAAAAATTTAATATCTTCACAACACTTTTATAATGATTAGTAAATATTAGAAATAATTTTTTTTGTTAAATTTAAATAAGAATTTGTCCCTTGACATAACACAAAAGGAAAAAAAAAAAGGATTCATATACCCCATCCCATGCAATGGGATAAAAACTTAATGGCATTGTTATGCAATACTTCTATTACTAAATTTGCAAACAATTACCAACACTCCAAACAAATTGCCACCCACCACAAAATTACCTAAGTAAAACTTTAACATATAAGATCTATCTTAGATCAATAAATAGTACTCACATTGCACTGAGAAAGATTTTTCCACTGGTTTCCCAGAAAGACAGATTTATTTATTTGAAGACTTCTTTTAGTGCAAATTACTCTTCAATTGTCTAATGGGTTGGTGGATATGCTTATCGCCCTTGATATTATAGTAGAAAACTGAAGATCATATTCAATACTCATTCAATGTACAGATCATTGCAGTATTTTGTCTCTTTATTTAAGAATAGGGTGATGCATACATCACATTTCTTCTTCTTTTTTACATTCATATATTGACCAATGACCACTGAAGGGTTGCTGAAATAACTTAAGGGAAGGAAGCTTCAGTACTTCCTCATCTTGGCCAATTATGGTGGGAGATCCCCAAGTAAACCTGAGTTTGCATCAAAAGAGGCTTTCTAGTTACAAGCTCCATGTAAACAATTAGTCAATATGCTGGGTTCCTCGAAGAATAAAATTTCGTTTGGGACGATTTTTTTACTGCTTCTTAAGGCAGCTTTTTAGTACAAATATTAAAATTTTTGTACTAGAAACTTGCTTTAAGAAGCTGTAAAAAAGCTGTTCCAAACGAAGCCTAAGACAAATTTTGCAAGTAAAGAATCCCGTTAAGAAGCAACCATGACTTAGGCTTCGTTTGAGGTGACTTTCTTACTGTTTTTTAAAATAAATTTTTAATACAAAGATGAAATTTTTTTTTTACTAAATAGCCATTTTAAGAAGCAATAAAAAAATCATCCCAAAATAAGCCTTAGTCAAGAGAAAAAGCAAAGAAAATAGATCTAAAGCCCAGTTTGATTCTCCTAGGTTTAAGAAGAAGAAATAATGGAAGCAAAATAAGAAAGTTGTAATTCTAGAGATGATCACTTCAGATGGTTATGGTAGTGAGATACGGCTCTGGAAGAATAAATGTCGGTTATTGTTTGTTGATAGGATTAAGAGAAGGTGAAGGATAAAGAATAAGTACAACAAGGGTTTCTATTTCATTTTACATGTCAAATATACTCCAAAGCAAGATATGTATAAAGATACAAGGCTCCATCTAAAATCTGTTCAAGTTTAACTGATATATTCAAACTCAATAAAATGGTACATATAAAGACAAGGAAGGGATTAGTCCCCATTGATTTCTAGATATGATTTTGATGAACAGAGTTGATTTGAGCTGGGAAAAATATATCGAGGTCAAAGCCAACATAGCGTGAAGCGGTCAGAGCAGTCTAAACAAACGAGTCACTAGAACATGAAATTGAGTCATTTGAGCTAATAATTAGAGCCATCTATTTGATGAACTTCTTAATGCCATTCAACTTTTTAAGTAGCAATTCAGAAAAAGGCACAATGAAATCATTCGATTCAACCGATAGAACCAAGAAATAGTTTATGATCTACTAAGAAGCCAGTGAGGTCTGATATTTGCAAATACCTTATAATCAAATCATGCATACAAATTTGCTTGTTCTTTTGGTGGCAGAATCATTGGTAGTCAAAGAAGCTGACAAAACCAAGTGATAGCGCCAAGAATAACAGATATACCACTACAATGACAAAGGACAATGGTAACAGATATGTCAGAAAATGCAACAGCTTTCACTCGAACCAACAACTTTGACTAATCTTCTCAAGTAATTTGTCAGCGAGTAGCAAACCAGAACCTGAACTCTCTATTTCATGCCGCAAGTTTTAATGGGCACCTCATGAGCTTCCCTACAGAGAAGACATGAACAATCACACCATATTTATATTTCATCATTTTAATTTTGTCAACAACATAAAAGATTCAAGCATATAAAGCCTGGCAAAATTAAATAGTAAGAAAATGGAAACTTCTAACCTGAACAAGAATCCCGCAAGTTATATGAAGAATAGGCTTTGAAGCCTCCAGACACTGATTTTAAGACTGCATAATTTAAGAATTGTCTTAAGGGTTCATTTGAAGAATCTTCTCAGCTTGATCTGGGAACAAAGTGATAAGAAGAAAGGCACCTGCATGGATCAGATAACAGAGATTCTATAATCAAAGATAAAACATAAGAGGGAGTCACTAATAATTAGCGACCCTTTAGTCATGGATTAGAATTAGGAACTGCTAATGGTTTCAGCTTTTATCTCCACATTCATAGCTTGTCACCATAATCCTTTAACATATGCAATGATATTAATGGCATACATATTAGCACAGTCCCAAGAACAACAGAGATCTTCCCCTGGATAGTCACAAGGCCAGCCTTTCCAGCATTTTGGAGTTCAACAGTTCCAGCAGATTCAAAGGTACCTGAATTTAAGGATCCATTGCGAAGTTAAATCTTGAACAAGAATATGTATTTTCTATATAAAATTAGAAAATAACTGACACATCAAACACAGTACATAAACTTCACAACCTGGCTTTATTGACGTTAGTCCTGATGTAAGACAAGAAATATTTTGAAAACCTTCACTCTCAAGCTGACTAGCCGCAACAGCTGATCTTTAATATAAAAGAACCAGAAACATCAGCAGAAAATGTATAGAATAAAACATTCATGATTAGAAGCAAGCATAACAGAAACAGATATGGTTCATGTGATGGAACTATGTTGAATAAAAAGGTTGTGTATTCAAGTTTTTCATACACTGAATGAAAGGTGCATTCAACTTTTTTCATAAACTGAATTGTTAAACAACAGCATTTATGATCTCGTGTTTTTTCAGGAATTCAGGAAATTTGCTAGTTTAAGATTAATAAGAAGGGTTAGGGTAGATCTAAGATAACATGAATGGAAGTTTTCAATAAAATTTACAAATAATAGGTGGGTTATTAATGAGCAGGGTAGAACTGAAATAACATAAATAAAAGTTCAAACAATAATTTAAAAAGAACAGGTTTAACACCTCAGACAACACTCAGCATGAACGAAAGAAAAATGAGATTTCATTAAGCCAAATAGTTGGGGGATGATGATTATAATGAGTTATTGTGTGATTTAAGTTGTAGGCACATTGCCAACTTCCTAATTATTTGATTAAAATTCAGCTTAAACTACCAAAAACAAAAGAAGTGTCATTCAATCATCGCACAAATGCTGTAGTAATTTCAAATTCAACCTATAAACATATGATTTTTCATATAGTAATTTTATTTGTAATTGAAGAATTTCTTAATTAATTATTCTTCTTCCTTTTTCAAAAAAATAGTACTACGGCTACTTACAATAAAAAAAAGGTCTGATAAAGTGATAGGAAACACTTGGATTTCCAAGTGTTTCACACCAAAACCAAGAGGATCCAAAGGAAGACTGCTGTCCACAGCAGAAAAACAGCCAACTGCACAAAAATCTGAGAGGAAACGTAGGAGAAAACGTAGGAGAAAACGTAGGAAAAAACACTGCAAACATTTTTATTTCGATAACGGATGAAAAGCACTTGCAAGATACAGCTTTCCTTAAATTCGAGAGGAAGGAAAAACTCTCCAAAAGATCTCCGGAGAAGCCAAGAGCCCAAGAAACCAAAACCTAGATCTCAAAACAATTCAAATTCCAGATGCCTCTAATTCCCTCCCAAAACACCTAATTAAAGACAAAGGAATATTACAAATGACCTAAACACCCCTTAGTTCAAAATATTTCCCTCCTAATCTTGCATTTAGCCCATAATGGGCTCCACCAAGTTTCCGCCCAGCGCCTGGCTCCCGCTGGGTCTATTCCGTCGCCTGGAATAGACCCGGACCGGTCCCTCCTGGACCGGTCCAGCCGGCCCCTCCTGGGCCGGCGTAACAGTTTGTAAAGCATGAATGTATTCTATGGTAAAGTTTATATGGTTTAAAGCTATGCTCTTAATAAAAAAAATCTGTGGACGATTATGTTTATGG